TGTTTACGGCGCTGCTGGCGGGCCGGGCGCGCCGGCACCGCCCGCGGGGGTCCGTGCTCCCCGCACGTTGTCCGGCTGGGCCGCTGCCCTGGGGCCCTGCTTCGCCTTTGGCTCCAAACCAGCGTCTGCCTCTCCTCGTCTGCTGTTTACGGGGGTTTTCTTGTTTGTTTTTTTTAGGAGATACTGCTGAGCCCCTCAAGTCTCTCGCCCTACAGGAGCCTACACAATCGGATGTTCAAAACTCAACACATAAAAGTGGGTAGGGAATAGGAAGCCATGCAAATAGTATAAGGGGTTCTCTACTTCGCTTGGCTTTAAAGCTTAGTCTGCTACTATAGTCTAGGAAGCCTGTGCAATGTGTGATTTGAAGGAAGCTGCAGGATTATGGAAATCTGAGGAGTAATTGACACTGTAAAAAATCTAGGGTGCAGTGAAATGGGCTGGGTGTATCGAGTCAACAGCCTGCTGCTGTCAAAAGGGACATCTTTAAGCTCATTCTTTTGTGCCACATTTGGCCATCGGCTGAGGCCATACAGTGATACCATTCAGTTCTCCAGGTCAGCAAGATATTTTCTTTTTGTGCATTAGTTTTCTGGCTTCATGAGCTTGCTGGTTCCCTGAGAAGCAGATGAACATCACATCTCATAATGGCACTAAGCTCTTAAATGGGTCCAACTGTCAAACTTGTATCATTACAAGTGGCTCAGAATGAGTAAGGAAGATAGGCATTCTGAAAAGGCTGTTCAGCAGTGCACAGTTAAGGTACACTTTCATGAAATATAGGTGGTTTAACATTTTTCAGCCACGAAAGGTGGAGTTTCTTCTTTTTTCTCTTCCCCTGAACTGGCATCCTCTCACATCTGCTGGTTCTGTTGCTCATCGGGCTTTTCCACTAGCTGATTAAACTGTTGAAAAACCTAGTAAAAGGAAAAAAAAAAAGAAAAAGAAAAGGTATTTTTCTGCCTTTTAGTGATGCAAATTGATGCACAGGAAGGTCTCATGAGTGCCAGAGCTGGCATGGGAGAGGGCAGAGCCATGTGCTTGGGAGAGGAGCAAATACCGTTCTGGCAGCAAAAAGGGATGATGGGAGTTTCATTACTACCTTCCAATTCCTTTAAGATACTATTTACAGCTCGTTTTCACACAGGATGCTTTAGGGAATTCTAAACAAAAACTACATGAATTAAAGCTAACCTGGTATCTTGCTATTTAGCTTCTCTGTTTCTTTATTGCTTACATCCACAGTATATACACTTGTTTGCTACACCCTGATGCACTGAAACTTTTCTGAACCTAATACTTTCATAAATCTTTGTCTTCTTTCTGCAATTCCTGAAAGTCAGATAATACCACTCACATCATCTATCATGATGAGAAGTGTGGTGTTCCAGGTCTCATTGAATCCAGGATATGAAAAACAATTACTGCTTTCTTCCTGTCAGAAACTTAACAAGGAATGCTGTACTTCAGTGCGATCATGACTTCTTAGGCTTGATATTTGTGAGAAATGCTCTTACTTCTTTTCCTTTAAAAAAAACCCACCAAAACCTTACAACTTCATTATGTGAGGGCCAATGTTGAGATGTCTCCAAAATAACAGATACTCTTCTGCTGGTATATGTTCAAATCGGAGTGTAAATTGTAAGAGTTTCTGGTGTCTGTGGTTAAAATGTTCTAGTGGCTTCACGTTACAGTTGAGTCAATTTAACATCTTTGCCACCACGTGGGGAAAGCTCGCTCTTCTATATCCCTAGCCATGCTTTCTTCTCTCTGCTTTGCGTAGGCTCTAGTCTGGTAACAGAAATGATTCAGTTCTTGAACTTTTCTCCCTTGCCCTCCCTCTAAAATACCCTACTTTTTTTGGCATGTTAGTTTTTCACTTTTTTATCAACTTGATTCACCTTGCTACATGAATAGGCAACTGTCAAAATTAACACAGAATGGTGGGGGTTGTGGCTGAAGGCTGGGAAGGAGAAGAAAGACTTCTTTATGGGAGGGAGGGTACAATTTGACTTAAGCTGTAACAGGAAACTGTACCTTCACCATTCTAGCCACTAAGTTTGGCCTTCCATTAGTAGTATGCTCCATTTTTTTTCTGCAGCTACCACTGTAAATAGTTTGTTAACGCCAATGTGTGTTTGAAGTACTTCTGAGTATTACATCTGTTTGTATACATGCACATAGGTAGTCCTTTAATTTACTGACATCTTGCTATTGTTTATGTCAGGTTTAGATTATGAATGTGATTGAGAATTACATCCTGAGCCTGCATTGTTCAATTTCTGCCTTGCATGGTCAGACCTTGTGGCCTCAAAGATTTAGTGAAAAAGAGCATTAACAATTTAAATTGGGTGTGGGGGAAAATAGGAAACACCTTTCTAAGTGTGGACAGTATGTCTGATAGACCTAGGTTCCCAGCCAACCCTGCAACTCCAAGTTTTCCTCCAAAAGAGATCTGGGGTGTTATAAAGGGTTTGTATACCCAAAAGAGTCTGAAGAGCAGTCTGCTTCCTTTTTCAAGATCCTGCTTTTAAAATGTTTACCTTGTCAAATATATCAACAGTGAGACTTCATTAAATTTTTTAAGGTAAAATTACTAATGGAATTAATATAAGCCTCCAAGTTATATGTTAAGACAAGGTGATGTTCATTTGCAGTATTGGATAAAAATTCAGGTTAGTTCACTGGCTGACTTACATTTTCATAACTTTTAGTTCTAGTTTCATCTACATTGTGGCTTCTAGGTATCACCTTTTTGGCACTTTTCATCTTTTGTCTCAGCTTTAGTCAGGAAAAACAGGAAGAAAAGCAGATCCAACAATCCTTAGCACAATTCCTGTTCGAGATCTCAAAAGAATTCTTGAAATCTTTCTATACAGAGAAGAAAAGTTCAGTTGCTTTGATGCTGCATCAGGAAGGTCTTGACCAGTGGAGATGTTTGCTCAGTTGAATTTCTGGCTTCTATATTGTCTTTGGTTCCATCATACTGAATGTTTTTTTGCACTTGCTCTCCTCTCGATTTCTTTATTGACATCTCTAGTTATGCTCAAGACCTACGCCTCGTGCATTTTACTCAACCTGAGGTATGATCTCCATTTTGCAGACAGTACCTTGAGTTTCTTCACCCAGCAGATCTGATTGTATTGCGTAACTGTAGGTCTTTCTTCCCAGTGTTGTCTTTTATAGCCACATCAATATCTATTCTTACATTTAGAGCATTTAAAAAAAAAAAAAAGTGTATTTAGGATTGCTGTCCTACTGTGATAACATAGACAGATCTACTTTCCTCCTATACACATAATACTGAATTGTATTCATGTAATTACCCAGAACAATTCCCCAACAGCTCTCTCTTTTATTAAAGCCCATGTTTAAATTTTGAAATTTTTCTTCTGGGTGTTTCTGAATATCATCCTGTCCAGCATGCTTTATTATTGGTGCTGTAGGTGCTTACTGCGTAGTGGTGTATCTTGGCCATTGTTTTTCTGTTGTTTTTTTTCCCTGACAATGTCCCTTGATGTTCATACATTATTAAGGTCAGTACAGACATTATTATGAAACAGATGCACGTCCATTAAAACCTTGTTAGGAGATGTTATCATATTTCTTTGCACACGTAATTAATTCAGGCTTGACTTACTGCTTTGATGGAAGGTGAAATTACTGCTCAAGGATGCAGTGGTAAAGTCCCCTGCTTTTGAATTTTAAACTGATGTTCTTGTGGCACTGGATTACAATTTGTGAGCTGGATCACTGTCTTTCTTGCCTGGTGAAGGGTAGTAAGGATTTGCAGCTCATGTCCTGTAGCCTGGGATTCATTGTGGGCCAGATGTCAGCTTCTAGAGAAACAATTTGTTAGCCCCTGGCCTGGTGAGTTCTGGCAGCGATATATGCTCGCTCTTGTGCCATCGTTCTGTATCACGTAGCTTATATGAGAACATGATTATCAACAGTGATGTTGTAAAATATACATTCATCCAACCATATAGATCTTGTTCGAGCCCTTGCTTTTGATCAGTTTGGCATTGGGCCTCAATGTAATATAAAAACTGGTGTTTGCTGAACATGTGTCCATGCTCATTTTTAGAGCTGTTAGTTGTGTTCAGCATTGTTGATTTTCATGTAGCAAAGTTTGACAAGGGTGTTCTTTGGCGGCTTTATTCTTTTTTTTTTCTTTCTTAAAGCTGACCCTAGTTGGTTGTCTCACCCAAAGGCTGTCTTCTGCAGGATTTAGAATTTAATCCCTGTTAATCAACTTTTTGAGGTGGAGATTAATGGGAAAGAATGGTTTGTGGTGTTTTCAGGATGCTTGTATTTCCATATATCCACGCCTGGAAGACAACCAGTGTTACACTCAAAATGCCCACTATCACCTGAGGATATAGAAGATTTGGACATCACTAAAAATCTCCAGTAGAGCAGAAGAAATAATTGTGTAAAAACTCCCGGTTCCACTAGATAAAAAAAAAAATTTTCTAGTGATTGACACTAAGAAATACTGTTAAATCTCTAACTATTGCTGAAAACCAAGGGAAAAGTGTATACTTTTAGAAGTGGTTTTATTTATTGGTCCCTTGTAGGTCTCAGTTTAAGTTGTTTGAGTGCATTATTTGGGAAATTGTACCTTAAACCTGTTGTGAAAGCGGCTGTGGAAATCTGCAGCTGTCTTATCAATGAGATTCTTGCAGAGAAAATGCTTTCCATCAGCTCTCAGATGAGGTATCCAGAGTGAGATGTGCTTATTTAAAAACACTTTTCTCCTTTTTTTTGTTACAACTGATGTTCTGAAGGTCACTGCCCACTGCAAGTTGCGTCGCCAAGTTTTTCTGCAAGGAATTTTTAGGGGACAGTGAATTGGTGAGGAGAGAAGTTTTTTTGTTTGTTTTTGAGATCAGCACTTAAAAACCTTTTGGCTTTCAAAATTTGACTTTAAATCTCTTCTGGGGTGCCAGGTTTTATTTAAAATTGATCTTTACATTAATGTTATACTGTGCTTAAACTCTGAATAAGATTTAATCTATTTGAATAAATAAAGGCTTCTGGCCAGCTTCTGCATTGACATTGTTTTATAGTATCAGTATGTTGCTGACAGATGCAGTCGAAAGCAAGATTTATCTTTAAGTGACTGAAAGACTGTAAAAATACCAACAGAATGAAACTGATTTTCGAGGACAATGTCCTGTGACGGTATTCAGATTGGGTCTGACTTAGAGATTCAAAAATACTGTATGGCTAACTCATGATGGGGCATCCTTTATTGCTAACGCTTTTACCTTTAACACAAAGCTCTATAAAACTGTCCTTTGTGTGAGATAAATCATTATGTATCTGGCATGCAAAAGAAAGCTGACTCTAGAAGTACTTGTTTCATGGCTAATTCATGCCATGATAAACATATTTTAATTTAATTTCCTTGAAGGGAAGCTGGAGCTGGACATCCAGGCATTGTTTTCTGTAAGCTATTCTCAGCCTGCACACCAGCAGTCAACAAATGTTCTGTTCATTTCAATTTGAGCACTGTGAATACTGTTTGGCCCTAAGTTAGAGAAAAAGAAAAGCTCAAGCAGGGAAGCATTTTAAAAGAAAAGAATGAAGGTGGTTCTTTTCTTACCCAAAGGCAGAAAAGACAGGACAATCTTAATGTACTTACTGTTAAACTCCACAATCCACAGCCTAATTGCTTTGCAGTTGCACTGGCCATAACCCTTGAGAGGAACATACCTCCTCAGTTGCAGAAGAGGGTAGGGGTTGGAGAGAAGTAAAGCTTCAGTGGGTAATGTTGCTTAAATTTTTTTGAGAGGGCAGTGTTTCTCATACAAAAAAAAAAAAAAAAAAAAAAAAAAAAAAAAAAAAAAAAAAAAAAAAAAAAAAAAAAAAAAAAAAAAAAAAAAAAATCCAAGCAGGCTACTGTGATAAATGATCACAGATTTTTGAGTAGTCTTAGCTGATGGAAGGAGTCATCAGCTGCTTGGTTACAAGTAGAGCTTGGTGATTTCAGGGGGGTGTCTTAATGTGGGGAGTATAGAAAAGTTCTGTAAGGGTGTTTGTCAAAAAGGATATTACAGGTTCTGTGATAACGATGAAGAAAATAGGATACCCATCCAGATCCTTTCTTCTGCTGTCGCTCTCCTCTTTCCTTTATTTGAGACTTGAATTCTGGGGAGGTACATACACAGTGTGTGAAACATCTGATGGGAATGAAAATTGAGATTGGCAGAGTTTTACTATTTATGATATTAGTTCACAGATAAAAATTGCTTAGCAGTGACGAACAAACAAATTAAGGTGTGGGGTTTTTCTTCAGTTGAAGGAACCTTTTGCTTAAGAAATGGTTATTCATATCCTAAACTAGCATAGAAGTCTTTTATATTGAAAAAGGCTATTCAAAGTTTTATTTGAAGTTTGTACTGGAAGTACAACCCCCTGAATGGGTATTTCAAAAGCACCTATACTACTTCATGCTTACCTTGAACCTTTCATACATGGAAATCCAAGTGCATTATGAGTGGAGGGGAATTTTGTTATTGCCTACAGACATATAGATTTGTAAGAGTGGAGGGAAAATGCGCAAAACCACCCTGTGAAATGAGAGTAAGCCTTTGCTCTGTGCCTTATGGAGTTGCTTCACTTTTTCTCTCCGCTGGACAAAACTGGCTGCTTCAGAAGAGTCACTGCTGTTAGTTGTCTGCTGGGGTTTGATTTTTGGCTATGTCTGTGGCATATGACAATATGAGGCATTCCTTGCATGATACAATTCTATATATGATCCTGTGTATGTCACAGAAGCATGTAATTGTCATGACCATGTGTGCCATTTGATGTTAAGGTGGAGAAAAATGAAGTGAAAATACAGTATGTATTTAGAAATTATTGTCTTATCACGACTTACTGTGTTGTCTGTGACAAGTAACTCAAAGGATACTTCATGGAATACTTTTTTCTTTTTAAACACATCGTCTCTTCATGTTCACTAAGTCGTGATTTTTACTTCATTTATCATGCTGTATTATCCATGGGCTTCTAAGGCCTGAATGTGAGACACTTAAAATGAAGGATCAGTCCTTTGGAAGGACCTATTTGCTCATGTAAGATCAAGGCTGAAGCAGTCTGTGATGTAGGAGTTGGTAGTGCTAACAGTTTTCATGCTGCAGATGGTTGACTAAGGTCTATTTATCAGAAAGTAAGGAAGAAGTCTGTCTGTTCTCATTGTGCCACTGGGAGCTTTTGCTTGAATGCATACCAGGCTGTACTAGCAAGCTGTCCTCATACAATATCACTGCCCAGTGATGTCTGAGGAGTAGAAGCAGGCAGGGCTACTTACAATGTGATCAAGTGACATCAACTGGGGCCATAAGACTACTCCACTCTTGGGCTGTCGTAGGACCTTTCTTGCTGTAGCCTTTTTCTGCTTCTCCCAAGCTACAAGTCTCAGCTGATCATGAAGCTGTCTACTGGAGCTCAGCTTCAAGACAGCTTTCTTATTCCAGCTCTGTTGGCTGTGGCTGAGTAGAAATGAAATCTGCTGTATATTATGGTACCAATTTCTTGTGCACTTTTTTAAAGTTTTCCGTTATTTTGTTTTGAATGGAGGTACTATTTCCTAATTCTACTTCCGTAGCATTGGTGTTATTAACACCTAAGGAGACAGTACAGGGCTTGGGAAAGAGAAATGGAAAACACCCCATCCTTTTCTTAGCTCTAAGTGAGATAAATCAAAACTTCTGAAGTCGGAAGACTAGCTAAGAATCCATCTGCCTTTTTTCATTGCAGTATACATGAAGCTCAAGATCTGAACCTGCTATGACTGACCCAGACGTCCTCACTGAGGTCCCAGCAGCTCTCAAACGCCTTGCCAAATACGTGGTGCGTGGCTTTTATGGCATTGAACATGCTTTGGCTCTGGACATTCTCATCAGGAACCCCTGTGTGAAGGAAGAGGACATGTTAGAGCTCCTTAAGTTTGATAGGAAGCAGCTGAGGGCTGTCCTCAACACCCTCAAGGGTGACAAGTTCATCAAATGCAGGATGAGGGTAGAGACGGCTCCAGACGGCAAAACCACCCGTCATAACTACTACTTCATCAACTACCGCCTTCTGGTTAATGTGGTGAAGTACAAGCTGGACCACATGAGGAGGAGGATTGAGACGGATGAAAGAGACTCCACCAATCGCGCCTCTTTTAAATGCCCCATTTGCTTCAGCACTTTCACAGACTTGGAGGCCAACCAGCTGTTTGACCCCAGGACAGGTAAGAGTTACAGGTAACAGAATGCTCTTGCTCTCTCCTTTGTCTGTAAGTGCTGGACTTTAAGGAAACAGTCTTAGGAAAATTCTCTTTGAGTTCGGCCGGAGCTAGAGGGCACTCTGTTTTTGCAGGTGGTAAATGTTTGCGCAAAATACAAAAGTTATGTATACAGACTTACACAGTCTGTACAGCAAATAGCAATGTTGATAAAATGCTTGAGTGACAAGCAGTAGAGAAATGGAGGTCTTATCGCAATTGAATTCAAGGGTGAATAAGGCAGTCTGTCCTTGTTGGAAGCTGATGTTTTTTCAGTATAACCTGGTCTTGCTTGTAAACTGTATGACTTACTGGTAGTTTGCAGAGAGGGCATACGTATAGTTGACTTTGGTATGCAAAAAATTTTGGTCATGCAAGGAGTGAGTTGTTACTGTTTAATTTTCTTCTAGCCACTTCATTATACTGTACAACCTTGTTTCCCCAGTGTAAAGTAGTCTCACAAAAGTTAAGAGAAATTAATTACAGACTTGTCTGATTGGGAGTAAACAAGATTCTTTTTAAAGTGTGTGTCTCAGTCTCACTGGAGGTGCATATCTGTCTCATGCATATGAAATAAGAATCTGGGTGCCATTGTCTACAGGGGCAGTCCAAATACTTTGTGCTTCTGTGCCAGGGAAGAAAAGGAAGAACACCTGCACCTGATGAGATCCTATTTTGCTAGTCTAATCTGGGATTATTTTGGGGGCAAGGCAGGGAGCAGGGGTTGGGTGTTAGGCTTCCACCTTCTGAATTAGTTTCTTTACTTTTTAATTTTTCCTTTTGAATTCTTTGTCCTGATCTTACTTTTCCACAAAAATAAAAGAGCAAAAGTTAGGAGAGCTCTTGGAAACATTGGAGTGTGGTGCTTTGTGTCAGTTATCATAATGAGAAACTAAAAATTCACTGTTCAGTGGTATTGAAGCTTTTAATCTAGGGTTACTGATGTCTAATCTGCTTTGGAGAAGGGCAAACACCCAACAAATGTTCAGCCTGTCATTTTCCCTCTTTCCTGCCTCCAAAGGTCAAGAGCTGTGAAACTCCTTTTACTTGAACAACCATGAAAATGATATTTGGTACTAGAGAAGCAGAATCCACTATGTCAAGTAACCATCGCTGCTGTAATCCAGCGCAGCTCTCCAAGTAGGAGTCTCTCCCTCATGGAGTACCAAAACCAGCAGTGCCAGCACAGATTTTCTATACTCACCACTGAGTATGGAAACTACACATGCTCTCTAGAGTAACGATTATCTGTGGCAGCTACAGTTGTGGGTGTCGGGCTGAAGGGGAATAGTGCTTTTGCAGTTTGCTTCAGTAAGGAGAGAGTAGAGAACCTGTACAGAGAACATAGTGGGGGGCATGAGACACTCATCCGAAGGGGACCTGTAACACTTTGCAGGTGAATCCTCCCGGCATGTGGGCGGTGAGTTCCAAGAGCAAAGAACTGGCTGTCAAGGAGATGCAGAAAAACAATAATGCTGGGATTCGGCTTTGACAGCAAGGCCTGTGCTCCAGGAACTGATGAGGTCAACCAAGGGTTTGTCTGCAGTACAGGTACTGGCTGCCTTCACAATGCGAAATCATTCACTGGCACATGGAGTGTTTTGCTGATGGAAGGAAAGGTTGAGTGCTGTTTTCCCAGCAATTCCCAGCAGTTGATTTCTGTCAGTATTAATACAAATAACAAGGTAGCGAGTTTACGTTCACTTACTTTCAGTAAGAACATACCTGTCTAGAATTTATGTATATTCTGTTTCTCCTTATATAACTTTTAAGTCAATGATAGCTTCATCTAGATAGTGCATGATGATACTGTTGTTTCTCAAGAGGTTTTACATGGAATACCAGTTTGGATAAGGCTCTCCAGTTTACTGTTTAAGAAGGTCTTATACTGTCTCCAAACCGTGAGACTGCTTGCTTCCGTTCTGGGTAAATAAGTGAGCAATTTGTTTTTTTAGTGAGAATGGCTGCTTTATATTGCAGTGGATTGTGTTGTCTGTGTATGTTTCCTGCTCCTCTGGAATTTCGTATTAGAAAAGAACTGAGACACCTTTGGGTCTCTTCACAGAGGGAGCTCGTGAGGACAAGGCATGTAGAGGAACAAAGTTTATGAGACAGTGAATAGCCATCCTTTTCCAAGGATGTCTTTAGCCCTTATCAGTGCTATACATAAACCTCTCCCACTCATTGAAACTCATGGCAGTACAACTGCTGAAGGGTAGCTGAAAGCCGCATGAATTTCGGTCACGGTTGACCTGAGCTGCTGCTCCTGGACTGCAGTCATGTTGATAAAATTTTGTGAATCAAAAGGCCTGCAGGGCCAAAGTCTGCTAGTCCATGGAGCAGGTAGAGCATGGAAGGCATTCTCTGCACTAGTCTAGACGAGGCTGCACTTAAATTGGCGATCTATTAAAAGACATCCTGTTTCACTGTCTCCTTGTTGTCCTTGTCACTCAGAGATGGGGATGGTTTAGATGTCCTGTGTTTTCTTCTGCTTCGCTTTCCTCTTCCCTAGTTACAACTCAAATGCAAACTCTGAGCAATTGTTGTAGAATGAAAGGATTGGAAGAGGAGGTTATTGCTCTTGCCCTTCCTTATCAGTGATGGTGAGGAGGTTTCCAGAATCTCTCCATGACTGTAGTCATTCTATTGCAATTTGTGAATTAAGAGTGCTTGTGAAGAGCCTGTCCATAAGTTGGATCTGTAGTGCTATTTAATTTTTACCACAGCATCTGTGTCTGTCTCTCGGCTTCAGCAGAGGTCTGTTTGTTATAGGTTACCAGCTGTCAAATGGAGGCTTTTTTAGCTCTGTGCTTTACTGCATTTGAGTAAATGGAGTAAATTGAGTCCATTATTTTGAAATAAACTGATGTGTTTGTTTTCATCAGAAGATGTGACTATTGGTGTTTTTGGAAGGTGGAAATGTGTCTGTTGAGAGAAAATAATTGATAGTAAGAAGGGTATGTTTTCAGGGCACATAGGTATAGATGTGCTTTGGTTGCTGTTCATCCAATTAATTTGGAAAAATATTTTTGAACAGAGCAGCAAGTTTGCCACTAAGGTAATTTTAAATGTAGATTTTAAATGGTATAAATGTTACTTTGAGAGTGTGATCGCTCTGTTTTTAAAAGTATTATGTGATTTTTCTCCATCCCTTTTTCTGCCATTAAACATCTCAACCCAAAAAAGCTCCAAAAACTTATTATAGTGTGAAAGGTTGAACAAGTATTGTCTGGTACTTGTAAGAATTTCAAGGACAGGAATCATGTAATGTTAAAGAAACTGTCAGATGGTGAAAGTCAAGGTGATGAAAAAAAATAGAGTTTTGCTGCTCTTCTTCCACTCACAAAGGGATTTTTGAAAAGTGAAAAGAAAGAAACACGTGTTGGAGGAGTCACTTGGTTGTATGACCAGTGGGTGCCTGCTAGCTCTAAGCATGGCGTGCCCAGGTCATGAGTTTTAGCCCCATCTGCTCTAAATGAAGTGCTTGAATAGATCTCCAGAGATCACACTTTCTCCTCACTGGCAGTTTTTACTGTTGCCTCCAAAGAAGCTAACTTCTGCTTTTAGAGGCAAACAGCTTGGACACAGTGTGCTTTTATTTTGCAAAAGTTTGCTGTGGAAACTTGTAGCAAAGCTAAGAACTTTGTGATTCAAGAGGTCGCATATTTGCAGTTTGCCTATTGACCTGGCAGTGCCTTTGACGGGAATTGGTGCAGGCTGGGTTGTTTCAGGCTGAGAGGATGGTTCTTAGCCACTTTTGTGAGTGTTTTGAGATCTACAGAAAGAAAAACACTAATGCTGTGTGAATGAAAAGTGTTACTTCTAGCCTTGTGTTTCAGATGGGATGACTGAGAAAGGAAAAAGATTGTCATTTTCCTAGAAGATCCTAATATGAGCACTTGAAATACGTACATGCATACAAAATCATTGCCTTTCACTTGTGCCATTGTCTGCTGTCTACCTGTGCTGTGATATTTCATCACTCTTTGTTCTGCATGCTAGCAGTTGCATGCAGCTGACATTGTGATGAAGCCTCATGCAGGTGGAAAGCTGCAGCCATTCCCTTAAATAAGGTAAGGGCTATCTCTTGAGGCAGCGATGTACAAGAAAGAGTTTTAATTGAGCAGCAGTAAGGGAAGCCAGATGTTAAATGTATACTGTGAGTAACACTGCTGACCTCTGTCTATTCCCAGACCTGGGCTGACAGTGGACACTGGCATAAAGGACACTGGGTTTTCAAGTGTTTCATCTAGAGATAGGATATTATTTCATCAGGCTCTTACACAGACCTATGGGAAGAATTTGCTTCTTTGTGCTTTTAAATGTAGAAACTACAGAAATTTGGTTTCTGTAGGCCAGTTCCTGAAATTGCAGAGTAATCTAAACAACTCGATACCATCTTGTGGATTGGATTTAAAAAAAAAAAAAATTCTTGGAGAATTAAGTATGCACAAGTCTGTTGTGCGGAGTAGGGGGAGGAAGGACAGGAGGAGCTGCATGGTCTCACCCAGTAGAGGGAGCTGTCTTCTTTTCTCTATACATATGGGCTTGGGTTGGTTAATTTATTGAATGTCACAAAACTGGAAATTATGTTCATGGATGTGTGTTCTGTAGCGTGATTAACTGGGTCTGGTTGCGGGAGGTCTCTCTGATGTATCCTGTTCTCATACCCTAATCATATTTGTAAATCTAGTGTGGTGTTGGAGTTGACTGTCAAATTCAAGGTCAATTTGAAAGAAAGTATGTGACTAGAAACTACAAAACGGAGAGTGGGGTTGAAGTGAAGGAGTGACAGAAATGAGATCCCGCAGTGCATCACACTGTTATTCAGCCCTGGATTTCTTTAGGTATTCTAAATACCAAACTGTATCAGGATACTCACCAGCGTAGCAGGTGAATTTGATCCTAGAAAGAAAATATAAGGCTAGATGAAGTAGTTTTTCCTCTGTTCTCTTCTACCTTTGCAA